TTCCTCAAAATTAAGCCAAAATGAGTTCTTTTAAACATTTTATTAATCTAAACATTATCAAGTACTAGTATCACATTACTTCTAAACATTATCGAGTATTTTTAATTCGATAAAAGTAATTTTCGTTAGATGCGCCACATAACCAGTTAGAATTGGATCCAAATAATTAAGCCGGAACAAAGAAATTACCGTAAAATAGTGTTCTATGGGAAAAAGATTAATCAAAAAAATGTTTACAATTCGAAATTCACGAAAACTTTTTATATTTGTCTAATTTACAGGCTAATAACTTGAGATCCTTAGTGGGGGTCCTGTGATGTAATAAAAATATCATAATTTCTTATAGAGATTATTAAAAGACGTGTATTCAAGAGCTATCTATCGAATATTCCAAAACTTTAAAAATCCATCGTTGATGAAGTTGGCTCGATTGTCAACGACCTACTGTGGTGGATGTGTGCCGTAACTACCACTATGAATATTAAATACCAATTCTCTAGTATATAAGGCATGTTAACTCGATTCTATTTTGAGGATGAAGGTTGACATAATCGATAGTTGAATTCCCTACAATGGAGACCTGCGGACGTGATATGATCTTGGCAACATACATGGATGGTCCACTTTATAATAGTTGATTTGCTTAAAAATATACTGCTCAAAGAAAGGAAAAAAATAATCCGGTGAAGTAAATAAAGTTTCCTGGTAATAGACAATATTGAAAAAAAAATTTGCGAAATGCTAAAAGAACAAGAAGAAAAAATAATGGGCGAAATGCTATCAAGAAAAAAATATATGATGAGCAAAATTGATATAAATAAATAAACAGCATGAATCAACTAGTGGTAATCGTTCATCGAATTTATCACAGATAAAATTTATCACAGATAATAGTAATGTGGCGTAACTACCACTACAAATATTAAATATCAATTCACTAGTATATAAGACATGTTAACTTGATTCTTCTTTGAGGTACCTTTTGATAGATGACGGTTGACATAGGTGATAATTAATTCCCTACAGATGTTCAGCAATTTCAAAAAGTGTTTGCATGAGAAAGTTATTTTGAGTATTATGTAAATAATATGCTTCAGTGCATTTATGGACTACTGGCTGAACCAGTTCTTCGTGTGAGATTAAAAAGGATAAATAATCATTAAATCAGTATTAATATACAGGGCAGAATTGCGCACAAAAATATACAAGCACAATAAATGAAGTTTAACTAAAATAATGAAATTTTTTATTCATTGCATGATGAATACTCGTTCGTTGTACGGGGTGAAAAATGAGTATCAATAAATCAATACTGAGCAGCCCTAAAAATCATGCACAAAACTGCAAGACAAATACCGACACAAATTATAAAGCTAAAATAATACCAATGTGACTATCGTTATTATTATTTGCTGTCATCCTTGGTGGCTTTGCGTTTTTAAACTAAGCAAAACACAAACTTAGTTTTTCATCCCACCAAAAAGAAGATTAACTGTTCGGAATAAAGTTGTTGCTCTAAGCAACTCTTAATATTTAAAATTTACCCCAATGGAGTTTATTTCTCCTGCACTTATATCTTCAATTGGCAGTAAAAACCTATTACCTCTGTATCCAGGATAAAAATGTACAGTATTGATGCAGTTGTAGTAGGTACCAAATTTACTCAAAAAATAACTTGTACCAATATAAGAGTATATTTGGTACATATTGAAACTTCATGCATTTCCATAATGCCAGTTGTGCCTACTACCAAAATTATGCATCATCTGTGTCAATTATAGTCTGGCGACTTTTTACGGTTCAAGTATTGCAAGTACATTATCTCCATAATTTTCTATTTCAGTTTAATACTTAATTTTATTTCAATTATTATCTATTATTAAAACTAAATAAGCATTATTGATGCCATTAACAACTTGTCTTTTTTGACGCACTCTTAATCGAATTGGTACCCTCATTGCTTTTGCCTTCCAGCACATAGCATATTAGTTTACCTCAGTTTGCAACAATTAATAAGATTAATTATCATCAATAATAATATTGGCGTTTTTTTACTTTTATGCTCAACGAATTTGAAACATTTCTCCTTTAATATTAAATTTCATAACAATATTTTTCTTTTTTCAATTACCGTTGATTCTAAATTACTTAGTTTTATACTAGCACGTTTTAAAAGCGTAACAATATATTTAAATAACCCTTGGTTTCAGAAAACGTTAACAATTTGATTACTTAATCTTCCTATGCTACAAAGAGCGAGTTGAATAAAACTGTTATTCAATTACTCTTTTTAAAATGAAATATATTAATTTCTTATGAATTTTTCCTGCGGTTAATCTGCTTAAATTTAAGATGATAAATTATCAGTTCTTAATTACTCTACAGTATAAAACAAGTTAATTAAAAATGTTAGAAATTTTCCTAACTAAGTAACTTTTCTTTAAATAATTTTTTTCATGAAATATATTTTACAAAATCAAATTTTCAATAAAATCTTAATGAATTTTACTGAACTCTTAATCCTCGCAATTGAAAATTCGTTATTTTCTTTGGAAAAAAAATTCTCGAAACAATTTTGTGAGGAATATTTTTTAAAAAAGTAATTAAAATTAGTGAGAATCCAGCAAATGGATTTCTTTATAAGGGAGTTAACAAAGAGAAAACACGTGTGTTTCCGAAAATGCCTGTTAAGAGAAAAAGTTAATTTGCATAGACTAATTAAATGTATATCTAGACCCATTTAAATGAAGTATTCATTTCTTTGAAATTATTAATTAAAGGCTAAGACATTTTTCTTTTTCTGAAAGCGTAGCCGAAGTAAAATGATATATCAAGTGTCTAAAAATTAGTATCCATATTAAGGTTCATAAATAACCATGTTACAGTAATCTGTAATTTAGATAGTTTTAGAAGTAAGTGATATCTTCTTTTAAATGCTGATCAATTTATCTAGTATACATCTGAAATAATAAACTGTCAGAAAAATAATTTTATAACTTATTAGTAATGAATGTTAAAATATTGATTAAAAATAAAACTGATTTAAAACGTGACGGAAAACTTGAACTTCTGAGATGAGTTGCAAGGAATTTTTTTTTTGGTGACAAATTCTACGAAATTTTACCAAGAGTCATTTTTAAAAAAATATTCAATTGGGTATAATATAGCCAACGTCACAGGTTGTGTTGTTCCTACTAAATTTAATCCATGAACGGCATTTTCTGCGAGCCTAACTTCAAGCCACAAATAAACAAACGAAGTGTTCGATCGTTTAAATAGCTGCTCGCCAGATTTTATTGCATTATAAAGAAAAGTTATTGAAACTAAATACAACTAAATAAACAACAACAACTAAAACAAATAACAACAACTACTAATAACAATAACTAAATAAACAACAACTAAATTCCATTCGTTTAGCATTGCGTCATATGTTGTTCCTACTAAATCAAAGTAGTTGTGTTTTTTACATATTATACCCAATTGAATGATATGAAATCTATCGTATAATCGTCTGCTAACAAAGCAATGTAACAATCAGAATGATTTATGAAATCTAACTTCAACTTCTTGATAATGTAAACATATACTACAACTTCAATCAAGCAGGCAGAGTACTGCAGCTTTTCTCTTAAGCAATATACAAACAAATTACACAATAAATTTCAACTGAAATTCAATCCATCGTAATTCTTATGCTTTATGTTATTTCACTATAATAAATTGGATAAGAAGCAGTTAAAGTTCAAGTCAAATAAAAAAAAACTCTGTAAAACTACATTTATGTTAAAGATGTATTAATGTACCAAATGCGAATAGATATACGTTTATTCTTATTTCTGAACATAATAAACGTTTATTAGACTTTAATGAACATAATAAATTTAGATTAGATTATAATACCTGCTTGTCTCACTCGTCGTGGTGTTAGGGTTGCGGATTATTCTATAAAAATAATACACAAATTTCTTTCTCTGTATTTTCGACAATATAAGAGCAAATTAAAAAAAATCAATGAAAACCAAATAATGAATTTTCAAATTTCAAAGGAAGTTAGTACATAAATATTTTGCCATAAAAATGACTTGAACATATTATCAGACAAAATACAAATATCATAATTATCATAAGAAACTTACTGTTGCACAGTTGATGTAGATCCTAAATGTAAACTCACATTTATTAACTGTAATGTATGAAAAAATTAACTTTTAACAACTTATTTGTTCTATTGTTCTTACACTGAAAGCCAGATGTCATTAGGTTTAGTTGAAGGTTATGGGATTTTAATGCTATAAGAAAACTGAGTTCTTAACTCGATGTTAATGCACAATTTGTACATAAGCTATCATTCATTAGTTTCATTATAAATGTCAGAATTTTTAAAAATAACATTTATCCAGACTAGAAAAAGCAAGATGAATAAGGAAGAAAGTAATATAACTAGCATCGCCAATATGAAAACGTGAAAAGTGAATCATTTTTTAATGGAGAGAGGCTGTCTTTTAGTCGTAAAGATTGAAAATTTGTTTTTTGGATATATTTTAATGCGTCTTGCAAATGAATCTTTTTTTTAAAAAAATTATCTCTTTTCTCTTTTACAAAGACACTAAATCAAATTTTTAATTTTGTGGTGATTAGGTTAAATATATTAAATAAATTAATTCAATAAAAATTAACTATCAACACAGTTTAATAATAATAAAACATAAAAGAAATTATATTAAGTTACAAGTAGAAAGACGAATAGGATTAGCGACAGCAGCATTTCAAAAATGGTGTAAGTTCATCAGTCAGCAAGATGGAATGAATGTTAGACAATTGACCTGTTGCCATTTCTTGAAACTAAGGTTTTAACTCAGAGATGTTGCCATCTTATAGAAAAGTCATTTCCTTGAGGGGAAAGTTTTGTACTGCCACCTGGCGAGCAAAGTTCATCGCCATCTGGTGAGAAGGTGGTTCACCACAGTTCTCCCCCCCAAGTGGTGAAGGCACTGATGTCAGAGGTAACGAGGGTTAAAGCGAACATGCCTTCCAGAGCGTGTGATGGTCTGGGGTTGGATCACAGGGTCCTTGTCTTCTGGAGTAGGATCCAGAGAATCACTGATGTTTACACTAGGGGTTGCTTTTTGTCCTGTCAACACCTCGTCTGATGCTGTCGAGAAACATGGCTTAAGGCGATCAATGCCAATTGTGCATCTTTTGCCATGTATGAGCACAGTGAAGTGTTTTGGGGTGCGCTCAAGTACTTGGTAGGGTCCATCATAGGGAGGTTGGAGAGACCTTTTAATTCCACCGTGACGCACTAGAACCTGACTGCAATCAGATAATGAACGATGCACAAATGTTCCTGGTTCACAGTGGGCAGAACCTGGAGTCGGAGTCAGAGTTTGCATAGCTTTTTTTAGCTGCTGTACAAAATCTTCTGGCAAGTCTTTTTTGGTAGTTGTTGATGGAGCGATAAAGTCTGCTGGAAGCCTTATGGTTGTACCATAGACTAATTCTGAAGATGCACACTTCAAGTCCTCTTTAAAAGCAGAGTGGAGGCCCAAGAGTACTATCGGTAGGGTTTTAGTTCATCTCTTGTTGCTGTGGCACATCAAGGCTTGTTTTAGTGAGCGGTGGAAGCACTCGACCATTCTATTGCTGACTGGTACGGAAATGTGCGAATTTGTTGAGTGCCCAATATTTGAGCTAATGTCGTGAAAAGCGATGACTGAAATTGTCTTCCTTGGTCTGTGGTGATTCTTGAAGGCACACCAAATCGAGCAATCCAATGTTCAACAAAAGCTCTAGCTACAGTTTCAGCTTTAATTTCCGCCAGTGGTACTGCTTCTGCCCATCTGGTGTATCTGTCGATGCACGTAAACAAATAACTGTTCCCATTGGAGAGTGGCAGGGGTCCGACCAGGTCAAGGTGTATATGGTCGAACCTTGCTGAAGGTGGTATGAATGGCTGGATAGGACTACGAGTGTGTCGGGTGACTTTGGATCTCTGGCAGTCTAGGCAGCTTCTGGTCCATTCGACTATATCTTTGGCGATAGCAGGCCAAACGTATCTGTCCATGACAAGTCTTTTGGTGGCTCTTAGACCAGGATGGGATAGGTTATGGAAAGCAAAGAAAATAGGTTTCCTAAACTGAACATATGGTCTAACTTTTTGCTTGCTAGAGTCACAAATTATGTGCAGTCCATCCGTCAGATGTAATGACTGGTAGTTTAGCGAGCACTTTTTATCACTCAGAAGAGCTTGAAGTTTAGTGTCACTTTTTTGAGCTGTAACCAGTTCATCAAAGTTTCCAATTTGCTGAATTCTGGATAACGTGTCGGCAACTACATTGTTCTCACCAGAGACATGTCTGATGTCCGTACTGAATTGAGATATGAAGTCCAGATGCCTGAGTTGGCGCGGGGAACATGTGTCAGAATTTTTGGTAAAAGCATATGTTAAAGGACGATGATCAGTGTAAATAATGAAGCATTGCCCTTCAAGAAGATGTCTGAAATGTTTTACGCCCGCGTATATTGCAAGGAGCTCTCCATCATAAGTACTATAATTAGTTTCGGTTTTTGATAACTTACGAGAAAAGAAAGCAAGAGGTTTAGGACCTTTAGGAAAATGCGAATGGACAACAGCACCGATAGAAAAAGTGGAAGCATCAACCATAAGAGAAATTTTATTTTCGGGAGTGTGATGCGTTGAAGTTGTTGCGTTAATCAACTCTTTTTTTGCATTTTTCGAAGGCTAGTAAAGAATTCTCATCCCAGGGAACGGGACGTTTGTCGTTTTTTTTCGAATCCCTAGGAAACTCATTTAAGGGGGCCTGTGTTTCAGCAGTTTCTGGTATAAACCGCCTATAGAAGTTAATCATTGCTAGAAAGCGTCTCAGTTGAGATATTGTCTCGGGTTTGGGAAATTTAGAAATTACCTCGACTTTGTCAGGAAGTGGCTTAACGCCTTTAGTAGTTATCAAACAGCCTAAGAACTTTACAGAGGATTTACCCAATATACATTTATCAGGGTTTAGCTTAAGGCCAAAGTCCTGTAAGCGTGAAAATATTTTGTGTAAATGTTCTACGTGTTCTTCTTCTGAAGTAGAAGCAATCAATATGTCATCAAAATAAGGGATGCAAAAGTCAAACGGAGCTAATACTTGATGCATGAATCTTTGAAAAGTTTGACCTGAGTTCCGGAGTTCGAACGGCATTGCTGTATATTCAAAGAGGCCAAAAGGTGTCGTTACAGCTGTTTTGGGTATATCTGGGGGATAGAATGCAATTTGATGGTAAGCTCGGGCAAGGTCTAGGGTTGAGAATACCTTTTTTCCAAAAAGATTTTGGGTGCAGTCCTGGATGTGAGGGACAGGGTAGCGATCAGGAATAGTGATCGAATTTAGACGATCGATTTAATCGTCGCATGGTCGATAATCACCGTTTGATTTCCTTACAACATGAAGAGGACTAGCCCAAGGACTTTTCGACGGCCGAAGAATACCTTGAGAAACCAGGTATTCGAACTCTTTTCGGACAGCGTTTAAAATGTTAGGTGCCAGACGACGAGGTTTCGAGAAAACTGGCGGGCCTTTGGTCTCAATATGATGATATGTTTTGTTTGGTAGGTCAGCATTATTGTTTTGGGATGGGTTAATTAACTCTGGATACTGGCGCAAGATATCGTCGAATTTTGAATCGCCCAAAAGAATTGAAATATTAGTGGAAAGTGGAGAATCCGAAGGCAAATGTCCTCGAGAAGACAATTTTGTTTCGGCATCAATCAAACAATTATTTTTAACATCAACCAATAGATTAAATTTTTTCAGAAAATCAGCACCTATAATAGGCTGATTGACGTCAGCGATGATGAACTGCCATGTAAAATTGCGGCGCAAATTTAAGTCTAATTTTAACAATTTAGTGCCATACGTTTTTATGACTCTGCCGTTGGCAGCATACAATGTCAATGTTTCGCGAGTAGTGGGAAGGGTTGTTTTGCTTTTTGGCAAAACGCTGACGTCTGCACCAGTATCGATGAGAAATTTAAATTTAGAAGAAGGGTCGGCCAAGAGAATTCGATTTATGAGGCGGTCGCCTGTGTGGCCTAACTAGTTTGTTGAAAAATTACATGGCTGAGTACACTTTTTGGCATTTTGGTCAAAGTTAGTGTGATAAAAGCATTTGCCATTAGCAGGATCTTTAAATTTTTTAAAACGGGTTCTAGAGCTGCTACGTTTGCGAAAATGATTTGAAGCTGGGCTACGCGATCTTTTGACGAAAGCAGTTAACTCATTAACTTTCTGTGTCAATTGAGCAACTTGTTGTTCTAATCGAGAGGTGTGGGAATTAGAAGTAGCGGCGACAGAATTAACTCCCTGATGAATAGTGAGATCATTAATCTTGTCTGCCACAGTGGCTAACTGATCTAAATCTTCGCTGAGAGCGGCTAAAATTGTTTGTGTCCCATTAGGTAGCGGACCAAGCCACAATGATTTTAAAAGAGTATCACCTACGTTGTCACCTGCGAGTGAACGCATTCTCGTTAAAAGCTGGGATGGTCGTTGGTCCCCTAACTCTAAACCTTGGAGTAAAGTTCTTATTTTAGATGCTTCGCTTTCAGAGTGTAACTCTACTAAACGTTTTTTAAGTGCTTCATATTTATCATTCTCAGGGGGCTTTAACACTCCATCGGGCGCGTTGATCTGACAGATACAGGCGTGTCAATATCTCTGCTTTTGTCCCCTAAAACATTTTCTTACGACCTTGACCTTATCGGTATCTGTCCATCTGACCCCCTGCTACTTTGGAATGCAGTAGTGACCAGTTCGGTGTAGGAAAATTTCCTGTTTCTAAGCTTGTTTGAAATTTTATATCTGTTAGATACACGCGCCCGATAACGTTTGTCTCGTGAAGCTACATGGAAGTATCGAGATTCCCTGAGCGTTTTTGATTTATCTTTTTCCTACGATGAGTGCTAAACGCTTTTTAGATTTGAAAAATCAGGAAGACCTAGAGCTAGTTCATAGTATTCTATTTAGTGATGGAAATGAGGAATTAAATGCTGAAGAATTTGATGAAAGTGATGCTGACGAAGAAGACATTTTAGAAACACGTGAAGTTGATTGTCATCGCAGTAAAAGCGTTTATAATGACTCAGAACTCGATGATGATGTTAATAATATGTAGGAAAGGACAATAATACTTAAATGGGCAAAACAGATCGGAAGAAAAAATTAGAATCGGATTCAATTATAATAATTGATTTGTCACTTTTATATTATGTATTATTTGCGCATAACTGTCCTTTTTATACTTTTTCAACAGTTTAACATGTTTAATTAAATGTTTTTTACAGCATTTAACTTTTGTAATAGCGTTTGTGATTAATGAATAAAAATTATTATTGAAAATATTAAAAAATATATAAAAATTAAAAATATGTAAAAATTAAATAAAAATTAAAAATATACATAAAAAACTAATAAAAGGTCCGGGTGTAAAAGCCTGGACCTAAAAAGAGTAAAAATAGGAGATTTAAAGTAATACATATTAACAGAAAACACACAAAACAGAGATGTATCTGACAGATACATCGCGCCCGATGCCGTAAGTTTCGAGACGCGCCCGACGGAGTGTTAANGGGGAAAGTTTTGTACTGCCACCTGGCGAGCAAAGTTCATCGCCATCTGGTGAGAAGGTGGTTCACCACAGTACTCCCCCCCAAGTGGTGAAGGCACTGATGTCAGAGGTAACGAGGGTTAAAGCGAACATGCCTTCCAGAGCGTGTGATGGTCTGGGGTTGGATCACAGGGTCCTTGTCTTCTGGAGTAGGATCCAGAGAATCACTGATGTTTACACTAGGGGTTGCTTTTTGTCCTGTCAACACCTCGTCTGATGCTGTCGAGAAACATGGCTTAAGGCGATCAATGCCAATTGTGTATCTTTTGCCTTGTATGAGCACAGTGAAGTGTTTTGGGGTGCGCTCAAGTACTTGGTAGGGTCCAACGTAGGGAGGTTGGAGAGACCTTTTAATTCCACCATGACGCACTAGAACTTGACTGCAATCAGATAATGAACGATGCACAGATGTTCCTGGTTCACAGTGGGCAGAACCTGGAGTCGGAGTCAGAGTTTGCATAGCTTTTTTTAGCTTCTGTACAAAATCTTCTGGCAAGTCTTTTTTGGTAGTTGTTGATGGAGCGATAAAGTCTGCTGGAAGCCTTATGGTTGTACCATAGACTAATTCTGAAGATGTACACTTCAAGTCCTCTTTAAAAGCAGAGCGGAAGCCCAAGAGTACTATCAGTAGGGTTTCAGTCCATCTCTTGTTGCTGTGGCACATCAAGGCTTGTTTTAGTGAGCGGTGGAAGCGCTAGACCATTCCATTGCTGGCTGGGTGGTACGGAGATGTGCGAATTTGTTGAGTGCCCAATATTTGAGCTAATGTCGTGAAAATCGATGACTGAAATAGTCTTCCTTGGTCTGTGGTGATTCTTGAAGGCACACCAAATCGAGCAATCCAATGCTCAACAAAAGCTCGAGCTACAGTTTCAGCTTTAATATCCGCCAGTGGTACTGCTTCTGCCCATCTGGTGTATCTGTCGATGCACGTAAACAAGTAACTGTTACCATTGGAGGGTGGCAGGGGTCCGACCAGGTCAAGGTGTATATGGTCGAACCTTTCTGAAGGTGGTATGAATGGCTGGATAGGACTACGAGTGTGTCGGGTGACTTTGGATCTCTGGCAGGCTAGGCAGCTTCTGGTCCATTCGACTATATCTTTGGCGATAGCAGGCCAAACGTATCTGTCCATGACAAGTTTTTTGGTGGCTCTTACACCAGGATGAGATAGGTTATGGAAAGCAAAGAAAATAGGTTTCCTAAACTGAACAGGGACATATGGTCTAACTTTTTGCTTGCTAGAGTCACAAATTATGTGCAGTCCATTCGTCAGATGTAATGACTGGAAGTTTAGCGAGCACTTTTTATCACTCAGAAGAGCTTGAAGTTCAGTGTCACTTTTTTGAGCTACAGCCAGTTCATCAAAGTTTACAGGTGGCTCACTACCAATTTGCTGAATTCTGGATAACGTGTCGGCAACTACATTGTTCTCACCAGAGACATGTCTGATGTCTGTACTGAATTGAGATATGAAGTCCAGATGCCTGAGTTGGCGCGGGGAACATGTGTCAGAATTTTTGGTAAAAGCATATGTTAAAGGACGATGATCAGTGTCAATAATGAAGCATTGCCCTTCAAGAAGATGTCTAAAATGTTTTACGCCCGCGTATATTGCAAGGAGCTCTCTATCATAAGTACTATAATTAGTTTCGGTTTTTGTTAACTTACGAAAAAAGAAAGCAAGAGGTTTAGGACCTTTAGAAAAATGCGAATGGACAACAGCACCGATAGAAAAAGTGGAAGCATCAACCATAAGAGAAATTTTATTTTCGGGAGTATGATGCGTTAAAGTTGTTGCGTTAATCAACTCTTTTTTTACATTTTTCGAAGGCTAGTACAGAATTCTCATCCCAGGGAACGGGACGTTTGTCGTTTTTTTTCGAATCCTTAAGAAACTCATTTAAGGGGGCCTGTGTTTCAGCAGTTTTTGGTATAAACCGCCTATAGAAGTTAATCATTGCTAAAAAGCGTCTCAGTTGAGATATTGTCTTGGGTTTGGGAAATTTAGAAATTACCTCGACTTTGTCAGGAAGTGGCTTAACGCCTTCAGTAGTTATCAAACAGCCTAAGAACTTTACAGAGGATTTACCCAATATACATTTATCAGGGTTTAGCTTAAGGCCAAAGTACCGTAAGCGTGAAAATATTTTGTGTAAATGTTCTACGTGTTCTTCTTCTGAAGTAGAAGCAATTAATATGTCATCAAAATAAGGGATACAAAAGTCAAACGGAGCTAATACTTGATGCATGAATCTTTGAAAAGTCTGACCTGCGTTCCGGAGTCCAAACGGCATTGCTGTATATTCAAAGAGGCCAAAAGGTGTCGTTACAGCTGTTTTGGGTATATCTGGGGGATAGATTGCAATTTGGTGGTAAGCTCGGGCAAGGTCTAGGGTTGAGAATACCTTTTTTCCAAAAAGATTTTGGGTTCAGTCCTGGTATATTAAATAAATTAATTCAATAAAAATTAACTATCAACACAGTTTAATAATAATAAAACATAAAAGAAATTATATTAAGTTACAAGTAGAAAGACAAATAGGATTAGCGACAGCAGCATTTCAAAAAAGGTGTAAGTTCATCGGTTATCAAGATGGAATGAATCTTTTACAATTGACCTGTTGCCATTTCTTGAAACTAAGGTTTTAACACAGAGATGTTGCCATCTTATAGAAAAGTCATTTCCTTGAGGGGAAAGTTTTGTACTGCCACCTGGCGAGCAAAGTTCATCGCCATCTGGTGAGAAGGTGGTTCACCACAATTTGATTATTGGTAATTGGGCACTTGCAACTCGAGAAAAACTGAGCTGATTAGGCCTAACCTTACGATTTAAATCAGATTTGATTTGATATCTATATGCGACGTCACGCGTGTGTGGCGAATCTGATTGGTTTTGGAATCGACAAATGCAACGATTTATTTACTATGACGTCACTTAAATATATACAATTCTTTTAGTTTGAATCCAAACCAAGTGGCTGTAAACTGACAACAAATTTCCAATTTTTTTTCCAGCAAGTATGCAAAATGATGAATTTTTATGTAAAACCCATATTTATTTTTAAATTTTTTTTTTACGACCTAAGTGGAAATGATAATAAATATTAAATATTTATAAATACTTCAAACAATTCTTACATTTAAATATTTTAAACAATTCCTCAATGCTAACAAAGTTAATTATAATTTTAACAATGTTAACAATGATAACAATAATCCAAACAATGTTAATTTCAACAATTCTTCAATGTGTTTTGGCATGCAAATTGTTCATGCATTTGATTAAAAATTTAAAATAGTGTGGTAAGTTATATACAATGAGTGATAATGTACATGTATAAGTACTTATAAGAAATGCACTTATATTTAAGTTAAAAATCGAAAAATATTGATTCGCCTTGTTTACAAACTATACTTATTGCTCTTGCCAAAAAATCCAGCAAGTTATAATTTGATAAGAATCATTTCTTTAAATATCTTATTAATTCTCTTTCATAATTTCCTTTTCGCTAAATTTTTAAGATACTTAACAGCAAAATCAATTTTGTTTAAAGAAAGGCTTAAATTTGCATACATGCGATATTCCGTATGGAGAAATGTGTTGTTATGTGATGTATCTTACAATTGTTATTCATTGAGTCTATTCTATTACGTGGTATGATAATTGTTATAGACTACAGCGTTGTACCATATAAGATTGTTAGCTCATAAACAAGGTGGCCATAAATCCATCTTGTTTAAGGGCTAACAATCGTGATCAGTTTACGAAACATACTCGCATGATGGATCATGGAAGCAATGTAGATTCTGAAATCATTTGACCCAAGATGATTCGTAAATTACCTCTAATAACCAGTGTATCAATAGTATAATCGTTTAAATATTTAACTGTTTATCTGCCATCCATTTTGTAAACTATTATCTATTTTACACGTGATGTTGCTCAATTTCTTTTTAAAAAACATTATCATTTTAATGCAATACAGTGCAATCATCTTATAATATAATAAACATTTGTGAAGCTTAATTTTAGAGTAGCCTATTTTTACAGTGTTTAGTTTGAAAATAATTAATTTTTTTAAAAAATAAGTTGGAGAACTACGTTTTTTTTAAATAGTGTAAAACTCTATAGGAATGTATTTGATCAGGGAAAAAAATCAATAAATATTTCAGAGCTACAATAATTTTGTCTGCTTGTAAAAAGAAAAAAAATAGTCACAGTGTTTTTATATAGTAAAATTTCCCCCCTTTTGTTTGTTGCAAGAAACGACGTCATGAAGTTGAATTAATTATTTTTTTTTCAATTTTTAATCATTAATTTAAGAAACATAAACAAGGAAATATCAGGATATAATGCATTTATTATTTGAAAATAAGTTTGGAACAGACAATAAAAGTGTGTTTGGATAATATTTTTAAAAATGCTTCGAAAGCTTTATTTATTTTTTATTTCGCTTCGAACGAGGTTTCGAATTTTAGAATTTCTTATAGATTTCAATCAAAAAAGTTACATTTTAAATAATGAAAATAATTTTTAAAATACTTTTTAAATCAATTGATACTTTTTTCAAGTATTATGAGCTTATTCAAATAATTATTTTTTTTTTGGTGTTAATATTTGCACAAACCCACAATTGAATAACTTTGAAGCGCTAGTAAACTTAAATTATAAAAAATAAAAAATATTTTCCACGAATTATAAAAAATATTTTCCACGAATAAAAAAGCTAAGCCACTTTGTATAGCATGAGAATTCATGGCTTGTCCGTTAAGAAAACCTTTCTGAACAAAAACATACTATGTAGATCGGGCATACTATGTCTGTAAGAATTTTGTAAGAAGACATACTATGTCTTCTTACAAAAGTGCTTCACAAATAATGCTCATAAAACAAATACCAATCATTCTAATTTCACATTCTTAAATAATGCTATGAAATCGAATGTTTAAAACTAAAGTTTAAAAACAAATATGAATATTATAAAACAATAGCAAAACATCCAACGTTTTACTCAATCAAAAAAATTTTTTTCCACAAAAACAAAAGTTATTATAAGTGCATACTTTCAATGCTTCCCAAGATACCAATTGAAGTTCATCATTCAGTCTTGGTTGACCTTTATTAAGATCCAAAGCACTTTTCATTAATATTAAACCACGCTGGAGTGCTTTAAATAGTTCCCTAAATTGACTTCCAAGGGAGTTCATTTGCTATGGATGAACATAAAGTTTATTTGATAACTGTAATAAATTCAACTGATTACTTAAGGGGTTCATTAGGGAGTAATTTGAGATCGGATCTATAAATATTATTGAAACTGTGAAATTATTCATTAATTATTAATTGATTACATAATGCGATTCTTTGTATAACAAAAAACTGTTTATACGTAAAGATTTTTTATCTTTATGGCTTTTAAAATAGATTCAATGTAATATTCAGTGAATGCAAGGTGCTTTCGCAGTTTTACTTTTTCAGGAAGTTGTAATAATCAGGATGGTCTAGAGCAAGGGTCGCCAAACTTTTTTGATCATCGACCCCTACATAATTTTTCGAAATCTCTATCGAACCCCGCAAAAGTAATTTTCTGTTAATTAAAATAAAACTTTTAGATACTGTGTTTGCACATTTATTTTATGATTTTAAACATTTTTAAAAGT